TGAAGCAGGACGTTTTGACCTATTAGTGAGGTAGTATCACACCACATCACTCAGCCCAGAGTGATGGCCTGGAGTGCAACAGAGCAGACCCCGTCTCTAAAAAACAAAACAAAAAGACACAAAAACGTTCACACACACACAAATGTTCCCCAGTTATCAGATTATCTCCAATTCAAATAAATGTGGCTGCCTTATCTCATACCTTGTGTGGGATACAGAGTAACCATGGAAATGTTACTGTTTCCTGATTTGAAATTGAACAGTAGTCTGACGATTTTAGAGAATAATCTCAGGTTAAATGCGCTCCTTGGTTGTATTTTCAGATTTAGAACACATAAGGTATCCAGAATATCAGAAGTTTTGTTTTTTTTTTGGTTTTTTTTTTTTTTTTTTTAAGACAGAGTCTCACTCTGTTGCCTGGGCTAGAGTGCTGTGGCATCAGCCTAACTCACAGCAACCTCAAACTCTGGGCTCAAGCCATCTTCCTGCCTCAGCCTCCCAAGTAGCTGGGACTACAGGCATGTGCCACCATGCCTGGCAAATTTTCTCTATATATATTTTTAGTTGTCTGGCTAATTTCTTTCTATTTTTTAGTAGAGACGGGGTCTCCCTCTTGCTCAGGCTGGTCTTGAACTCCTGACCTTGAACGATCCTCCCGTCTCAGCCTCCCAGAGTGCTAGGATTATAGGTGTGAGCTACCATGCCCGGCCTATAAGAAGTTATTAATAAATGAAAAAGATGGCTTTATCTTTTTTTTAACTAGCTGTGTAATTGCTAATCTAAACTTCTTGGAAAATAGAGAGGACAAGATGTATCACATTGCCTAAATGAAGATGATTTGAGGTTTGTACTTTACGAAGACAGAAGAAAGCCTTAGGCAATGACTGCCTTGATTATGCCCTAATATCTACATATTAACGTTTCAGTTGATCAAATATTTGTAGAAAATACTTGCAAGTTTAGCTATTTCTTCTTAAATTACAGGTCCTGCAGTAGATTGGTGGGCACTTGGAGTTTGCTTGTTTGAATTTCTAACAGGAATTCCCCCTTTCAATGATGAAACACCACAGCAAGTATTCCAGAATATTTTGAAAAGAGGTGATTCTTTTTCTTCTATTAATATAGAATCATTTATCTCTAAGTATTATTATTTTGAGCAGTGATTAACAAGCTTATTTGTATATTTGTGTTTATATAGATATCCCTTGGCCAGAAGGTGAAGAAAAGTTATCTGATAATGCTCAAAGTGCAGTAGAAATACTTTTAACCATTGATGATACAAAGAGAGCTGGAATGAAAGGTGAGACTTTTGGTTACTAAACTCTTTTGCCCTTGATTTGTTCCAGGTGGTGAATTTTAATAAAGGTATAATATTAAGTATATAGTATTCTAATATAATACTACAGATAGTCTCACTGCTAACTTGGTAAAGAGGTAATTTAATTTATTTCTGCCCTCTAGGTGTGCATTGATATATTTGTCCTTATTCTGCATTAGAATTCAATGTGTCTCATGTTAGGGAAAAAAATTAAATATTGTCAATTTGCAATACTGTGTTCACACATTACATTTTATTAATCTCAAGCAATTGCCTAAAACAATCTTATCATATCAATGTCTTGGGTTTTTCAAACCTGATAAAGTTAACCGTCTACAAATACAGGAACTCTTTTTTTATGAAACCTATTCTGTAATTTCTTATTGCTTCATTTTTAATACTGTTATTCATTGACAAATGTACCAGGTCCCAGATTGCCTCAAATAAGGCAAACTTGGTACATTA